TGAAAAATTATAAAAAAAATTTAAGAATTTACGAAATTCCATGAGTGTTTCCCAAATTCCATTCGTTCCACTTTAGTGATACGCTTTAAATTTAAATACCTATTAACCATTAACACAAATAGCATTTGCAAACAAAATGTTTCGAAAATTCCAAACGTTCCATTTAAATAGCAGTCTCATATATTTTTGGAAAAAATTTTTACACCATATTTAAAATCAAAATTGACTTCTTTTTTTATACCAAATATTCAAGAAAAAAATGTTTCAAATCAGAACTGTTTCGTAAAGTTTCACTTAAGAGAACAATAATTTTCCTAATAACTAAAATATTGTAGATACCTCCCCTTTAACATGAAAATAACAATGTAAATACAGCCGTGTTTCAAAAATTTTCACTTCTGCACAAACAAAAATAAATTAATTTTATTTTTCTCCAACGAGAAAGGAATAATGTATGATTTTTAAAATATGAACTGTTTCGAAAATTCCAAGCGCTGCATTTGAATCAAAAAAGATGCTCATTTATTAATTTATCAAAGCCAAGAAGATTACGCGTTAATAAAGAGTAAGAAAAGAAACTAAATTAATCCAAAATAATAGTGTTTCGAAAATTCCACGCATAACACTCAAGAAATATTAAAAATCAAGCTGTTGTCACATTATGAATGACTAAAAAGAATAACACAGTTTATATTTTTTCAAAATGAAAGTGTTTCAAAAATTCCATTCGTTTCTCTAAAGTAAAAACTTTTATACAGTGTTTATATAGTGTTTTTATGTTAAAATTTATTATTTCAAGGTTTCTTTTATAATAAGTTTTTCCTTTATACGATTTTATGTACTCGACTTCCTCACTTACTTTTGACCACAGAAGTATAGTTTTCATAATATCTAACAATTAATTAAATCGCGTCTTTGCTATGAAAATGGAATATGGAAACTGTAAAGGTTGCTCTTTCTCAAAAGATCAGAAAACGCTAGTTTCATATATTCCAATCGTTTCTCTGAAGACATCATTTTACTACCACTAAAACTATGTTCCTAAAAATCCATCCAGTTTTTCTTATATTAATTAACAATAAACTTATAATAAATTTTTACGAAATCACCCTTTCACTATTTCGGAAACGTAGAAAAGACACAAAAACTGCAACTCTCGAGTTTGATAATTTTTTTATTGCTCTGCAAGAAAATAAGATTTGAAATAAAATGCTGAACTTTCAGTTTATCAACACTAGATCTTCAGCACTTGTCAGATTTAAGCTATGTCCCCTGAAAATTCAACACGTTCCTTATAACTCATAGTCTGAGCGTTTCGAATATTCCAAGCGTTCCATTTTTTTTAATAATTTTTTGTCCTACAATAACAAATACTATCTTTATAGTATTTAGATAAGAAATTGAAATAAAATTAGGTGTTTCGAATATTCCACATGTTCCTAGTAAGAATTTTTTGATTAATTTTACTTATTAAACACTTTCAACAGTTTTAATTTAAATACTTTTGAGTGTTTCGAAAATTCCAAAACGTTCCTGTTGTAAAACATATACTGTTTCAGCAAAATAATGCTACAAATAATTGATCAACACATCAACACATAGCACTTACCTTGCTGCACAATTTAATTTACACTCTATTTACACAGGTCTCACGTCAACCCAACTCAATTCACGAACGTAACTAACAAAAATATTTACGATTTCTACGTGTAGCCTGCACGAGAACGTGTATGTATGGTATGTACCCGTAAATTAGGTTTCATGGAGCTGAGTTAAGTAGTCATGCAATATCTTGCACGTTATGCAAGCGCCGATTGAGTGTCTAGCGCTGCAACTACCAAAATTGCCATACGTTTGTAAGACCTGAAGCGTTGTCTTGTCGTTTTGGGACCTGATGGTGCTGCACGGCCTTATAATCCAGTTTGTAGGCAGCTTATGATGGCATATAAAGAGGCACAAACACAATCTCATTTTGTATAAATGTATATATGTATATACATATATGTACGTTTGTGTGTGGACGCCCAAAAAAATCTACCTTTATGCTTCAGGTTTTGTTCATAAAATTTCGTGCTGCAACCGGCAAATGATCACCATGAGTTGGTCGCTAGTAAACACAAATATATACACACACATGCACACATGCACACGCACACATACACACATGTGAAAACATGTATGTAGGAATGTACGTTTATTTCTGGCCTACATAGACCTTTGATAAGCCGCCTGGCTACCGAGCTACACGTCTGCTGCTGGCTGCTGGCTGTCTGCCCCTCCCATCCAACACCAGTAAGCGCAACAGCATAAGCTTAGGACCAGCTCAATGTGGCCGAGCTCGACGCCAGCAGCAGGAACAACAGCGCAGAGTAGTAGACCTGAAATAACAGCTTTACTGTCTTACATAATTCAGAGGGCATGTGCTGAGCGGATTGAGTGGGTCATGCCGTAATAAGTGCTGAGTCATAGCTACATATAGAAAGGTATACGAGTGTACTTATTGATGTTTGTGTGTGCATATAACGCGGCTTATGTTTGTGTTATAGTTTATGCAATTTCACAAAAAAAAAGAAAAAACTTCGCACTTTGAAGACCCTTCAGGCCAACATAACCACCGTGTTCTCGCCGCCACTTGAACGTTTGACTGTGATAACTGGCTTTTGCAGTGTCATCCAATTCGAAAGTAGTTTTTTTTTCTTTGACGAAATTGGAAAGACTGCGCACGACCCATGCTAGATTTTATGGCAACGTACTGCACTATTATTGGGATGAGCTTATGTTTTTTGGAAGAGATTAAAAGTGGTAACGAGGTGATGCCAAGTGAATGTAAGAGAATATTCAAAACAAACTTTTTTGCTTGCTCTTTGGTTTACTCGGTCACATACTTTTCTTCAGAAAGGTGATACAGTTGACTGAGATCCACTCATAGGGGACTCGTAGTAGCTCTCTCTTCGCATGAGAGACTTTTAGCTGGTGGTAAATTTGAAGACTTGCTGACTCATCAGACACCTGTTGGTTACTTTGAACTACGGATCTTCCCTTTCTTCTTTCAAAACCTGTGCGTGGGTGACTGACGAGATTGAGTTCCAGTTCAGGGAACTGGTAGCAGACATTCCACTCACAATGAGGTAGAAAGCTTGGTATTTACTCCTTCACCCTTCAACTTATTCCTGCTCTGTTTTTTCTTAAGTCACCTTAAGTTTTCTCACAAGAAACTTTAAGTGCGCATCCGCATTCCGAAGTTGGTAGTACGCGAACTGATGGAAGAGACTCTATTCAGGACGAGGTTGTAGACTTGATATTCACTCCTTCATACCTCTAGTCATCTTCAATCTGCTCCTGATTTGCTGGTTCTTATATGAACTCAAATATCCTCAGACTGATACCAGGACAATTCGCAAACACAAGGAGCTTCTGGTGGACTTACACATTCTGAGGTTAAAAGTATGCCAACTGGTCAAAGAAGCTCTAGGGCGAGTGAAAAGCCTTGAAGTACACTCTTATATGCTTCTAACCACCTTCGTTATTCTCTTGGACACTTGAACTTTACGTCAGACCATAAGAAACGGACACAGTACTATGGCTTGCTGGGTCACAAGGTGCTTCTAGACGGCTTTTCCAGCCAAATTATGTTGAACGAGAACTAGAAATTGCGTTGCTATTTCTCTCTGGATACTATCGATCACCTTCAACCTTCTCCCGGTTAGATGGAGCTTACTATGGCGACCGATTGGTGTGTACGCCATCTTCGTGGATTCGGGAAAAGCTTTGATGGTTTTTTTTTTATTGTGAGCACTAATGAGGAAAATGGTAAACTTGAATGAGGACAATTGAAAATATTCTTCTTCAAAGTGAGCCATTTTCATCCTAACCCAATCATACCTGGGAATTAATTAAGTAATTAAGTCTTCTATTTCTATTGAAATTTTCCCTGGTGGCTTACTAAGTTTGAATAACTGAACCAATATTATCCTGGTGGTTTTCAAACTTGCAGTGGGGGAAGCTTGCAGATGAGGATGTGGGATTTTTGTGAGAACTAGTATATGTAAAGTCGGCTGATTCCTTTTAAGACTGATTCAAATTATAAATTGTCGGTGGCGACGACGATCTCGGATGACGCCTGATGTGGTATAAAAAAATGAGTCGATATCTCGTTAAGAGATACCGCCCACTCTAGGCAATTCAGTACTTTGAAAAAGCTGAAATGATTTAATAACAATATAATGACAACATAGAGGCCGCTAAGGTCGTCGTTCAAAGAAGGGTCAAAGCTAGATGGACAGAGAGAGAGAGAGATGAGGAGAGCAAGAGAGAGATAGAGAGTTATAAAAGAGAGATTAATATTAAAAGAAAGAGAGAGAGAGAGTTAAGAGAGAGTAATAGTCCGATAAAAATATTGAGAGAGGGAGAGAGAGTGATTGAAAAGGGAGATATATTAATAGAAAGAAAAAAAAAGTGATTGAATAAGGAGTAACAGTAAGATAATAGGGGAGAGAAATAGAGAAAGAGTTATGGAAAGAAAGCGTAATATTAAAAGCGAGTAATATTATATTAAAAGAGAGAGAGCGAGATAGAGAGATAGATTCAAGAGAGAGTAATAGCATAATTAAGATATTGAGAGAGAGAGAGAGAAGGAGAGAGAGATTAAAAAAAGAGTAATAGTACAATAAAGATATTGAGAGAGAGAGAGAGGGAGTGATTGAAAAGAGAGGTAGAGTGATTGAAAGAGAGAAAGAATTATGAAAAGAGAAAATAGAGAAAGTGAAATAAAAAGAAAAAGGGAAACAGACAAAAGGAGAGAGAAAAATAAAGAACACAACTGAAGTCCGCTTACACTTTCTTTTATTCATCCTACCCCGACGGGTTCATTTTCTCATATTCTCAGCAATTCTGAGCACAATCACTCACAGCCAGCCGAAAAATATATAAATCACCAACACATAAACAATTTGATGTAACCTTTCTTATGCAAATTCGTTTCTCTCTCTTTCTTGTTTCAGCTTCCGCATCAACCGCATCGAGTCGCCCATACTCAAATATGACGGTGACTGCGGCGAATCTCTGACGATTTACGACTCAGATCATCCCGATCCGGCGCGTATCATTAAAACCTTCTGCGACACATTTTCACGACCCATGGAGAAAGTGGACTTCGTGAGCACCAGTCCGTCGCTCTACGTACAATTCGATTCGAAGACGGGCTCTTACAGTGGCTCCTCCCTCTACTATTGGGCGCACTATGACTTCTTCAACAACACACGCTTCGGCGATCCTGTGCCGAATACGCTCTGCGATGAGGTTATGTACGCGTGGAAGCATCCTGGCGGCAAAATACGCTCACCCATGAATTCACTAATCTTCAAACGTACCGGCGGCTCTGATGTACGCTGTCAATATAAATTTGTAACCGATCGCCGTCTCTATGCGCGCGCTGTCATCGAGGTAACATCGGTGTCATTCAAAGAACTGCCTTACAACAATAATGCATGCACGCGTTGCCACGAAGAGCGCGTGGATAAGTTGGTCATTTGGGAGGAACGTGAAAAATTCCAAAATAATCTCGCCTGCTTCTGCGATAATATACCGCGTGCAGTGCGCGTGATTTCCTCAGCGGATCAAATGAATCTCGAAATGATCGTACAGGGTCAACACGCCATCACGTCCTATTTCAAGAATCCCAATCCACTATTCGAGGCGTCTTATGAGTTTGCGCACGGTCCACTCTGTGGTCCCATCACGCTGGGGCCTTCGCCTGATGGCGAACTGGTATTTCCCTTCAAGAAAGCATTAGCAATGGCGGCGGGCCCAATGGCCGCCGTGCCTGAGCATCATTATCGTCGCGAAAAGTGCATTTGGGAACTGAAAGTAGCGGCACAACGCGATCTCTGGTTGAATTTGGAGAAGGCGCGTTTCGGTGATCGCACCTGTGAGAGTGCAAAAATCGAAGTATACCTAGCGGGTCGTCTCGAGCCACGTTTCATAATGTGTCCGGAAAATATTTCATTAGCACGCGATCTACCCATACTCTCGGCAGCCGATTTGGGTGCGCTCGGCACCGATCAGGAACCGCTGCCGGTGCTGATACAATACACCGGCGACGGTCAGCCAGGCAAGAATGCCTTCCGTCTCGTCTGGACCGAACTGTTCCATTTGCCACGCAATCCCGACGGTAGTTTGGCATCGTCATTGCTGCAGGACGGCGGCTGTGATTTCCGCTGTCCCGGCGATACAGAGGTCTGCATACCGCGTCACCTGCTGTGTAACGGTGTCGACAATTGCCCGAACGTGACGCACATCTCTACGATGGCTCAACTAACGCGGTATATTGAGTGGAACTTGGAGCAACTCGGTCTACTGCATCGTGCCGACGACTACAAGCAACTCGTACTGCACGACGAATCGGCGGAAATTTGCCTGCGACAAGAGTTGAGCGAATTGCCCTATGGCAAGCTGATATTGATGACCCTCGGTTTGAGTTTAATGCTGACGCTGATCGTGGCGATATTGTGTCGCATGTGTCGGGGGCCGGGTCATGCCTATCACAGCAGATACTAGAAGTACGAGCGCTGGTTGCATGGCAAACCGCTGGGCGCGCATGTGTAGCGTTGTATGTGCGCGGCGGGGCAGGCACAGGGTGCGCAATATGCTTATGTTTTTACACAGAGGTAGTGGGAGGCTTGCGTGTCGCCGCTAAATGAGTGCGAACAGAAAAAAAATTATTATTATAATAAGTAAATGAAAGGATATACTAAAAAAAGAATATATTTTTAGTGTGAAAAGCAAAGTAAAGTTTATAGAAATTAGATTCTAATTTGTCTCCTTTCATTTTATACACACACATACATACACTCTCACACACTTAAGTATTGTACCTTTTTGGAATACCCACTGAGCGAAAAATAGTTGCCTGCTAAGTAGTAAATGAGAAGGCATAAATTATACGAAAACTAAAACAAAAGTAAAAACAAAAACAAACAGATATATAAAAATTACAAAAAAAAATATACTAATTGTAGGTACGCATAGGCGAGTAAGCAAAAAAGTTGAGTTTAGACTTTTATATTTGCAGAAACTCACTTGTTTCATTTGTAAGCGAAGTGAGAAAAATTCAAAATTTAAATTCATATTTAAAAAAAAAAAAAATATTAATCAGAAAGTGCTCAGAAGACAACTACACAGCTAAGTATGAATGCGCACTTGGTGAGTTGTATTTAATTGTAGTATGCCTCATTGTGGACACATAACGGATTTTTCATATAATTGTAGTATGGAAGCTCGATTTTTGAAAAACCAAAAGAAGTAAATAAAAAAAAATAATTATTGTTTTAGTTTTCTGTTCAGTTTAGAAAACAATAATAATAATTAAATACATAATAAATGTAAAAAAATATTATTTTTGATTTTATGTTTTGTCAACTCACTAAATTGAAAACAGACAACTTAATGTATAATAAATGTTTCCTAGGCTTTCTTTTCGAAAAAAAACTAACTAAATACAAATTTATTAACCTATGAGATTTCTTTCAATATTGAAAAACAAACAATAACAAAATAAAATAAAATTAATTTAACCAAAATTAAAAAAAAAAAACTAAAAAAAAAATAAAAAGGTCAAAAAATTTAAATAAAACAACATAAGATAAAAGATATAATAAACTATAATAATATCAATCAAAATTAATTAATTAATATTAAAAAGCAATATAAAGTAAAACAATATAAAATAAAATGATATGAAATAAGACCAAAAAAGTCAGTCAACTAAAACAAAACAAAATTATATTAAANAAAAAACTAAAGCAAAATGATGTACAATACAATAAAATAAAATTAAATAAAAAGTTTATAAAAAGATTGTTTAATTAAAGTAATGAAACTAAAGTAAATTAAACTAACATAAAATTAAAAAAAATATAACAAAATAAAAAATCAATATAAAATAAATTGAAACAAAATAAAAAACACAATAAAATAAAATAAAAAAAAAAATAAAAATAAAATAATTAAATAAAATTGCATAAATGCAATAAAATAAAAGGAAATAAAATAAAATATATTAAAAATTAAAATAAAATAAAAGGAATTAAGTGTAATAACAAATTGTATTATTAAAATTAAAAAAAAGGTAGAATAAAATGAAATAAAATAAAGGTAAACGCTTTTTGAGTTTTGCTATACATTTTTAGAGAACTTAAAATTCTACAAAACTAACAAAGTTTTTTGTATGGAATGTTTCCGCACTAATAACTAACAAGCTTGCATCACTTAACAGGTCAAAATTAATCTTTTAAATTTTTTATTTTTTTTTTTGCATACAAACATTATTTAGGGAACAGATATTCTCCAAATATAAACTAATTTTTCCCTCATATTTTTAACTTAAACATTTTTTCTCGACACAGGAATTATTAGTTAGCCGTACCATGGTAACTTTTGATAATTTTTTTTTACACCTGGTTATGCAATGAAACAATTAGAAGAGAAGCTAATCAATATTTCTCCCACAAGCTCGAAATGTCTGCCAATATTTGCTGAACTTTAATAACCGGCACGAAACAACTTGCTAGCTGAGGATGTCAATCCTCTCTGTGCCTATGGCAGAATATATGGAAAGAATATTCATCGAAAAATATATTTGAGCTACGCTCATCAGACATATGTAAATCTCTATCTCTCTCTCTTTCTTGCATCGCTTGCCAATAGCACCAAATGGGTTCGGTATCTGAGAAGGTGTAAAAACAGTCTTACAGTGAGATTTGACTGGTTTGTGTAAGCTTTGTAAAATCTTTCGAAATGCACAGCAAACGAGTCTCGCAGAAAATGTTTAGATGTCTGTTTGTATTTAACCTATTTCACGACTTTAAATATTTATAGTTCTAGGTGCTCTCAGAAGGAGCTTTAGCTGTTGTAATAAGGGAAAGAGAGTATTATCATCTACATACTTTGCGATTCAAGTGCTTTTCAACAGATTTTCTACCCTAATTTTTCTTGAGCGCCTTTAGATTTCTTCCTTAATATTGAAAAAAAAAAATTGTGGATCTAAAGATTTAGCTTACCTAAAACCTTAAGGGTATATCTGCATAAAAACTTTGTCCTTTTTCACTATGTAGAACTGCAATCGAATTTCTAAGCTTGCCAATCAGCCAAAATAAAATTTATCAACTCTTTTCTAATAAGTAAAACCAGAGAAATTACTTTCCTAATTTATCGTCCTTGAAATATCAACTGCCAAAGGCTCAATAAAGTTTGTGATTTTTAATAAATAAATAAAAAAATTATAATAAATAAATATTTTGATATTATAGAAAATAGCAAAAAGATAGCATTAAAATGTGAAATCTCGCACTAAGCAAAAAATTAATTTCATTGTCTTGGTAAATAATAATTTTTACGTGAACTCAACTTCAATTTGCCTAAGGTGAGATAAATAAATGATCTATCTCACGGCAGCTTTGATTTTTAAAGCAAATACTTTTCAAACCCTCAGATGAGATTAGGAAAAAATAATCGATTTTTTACCGTTGCATACGATAACACCCACTTTTCAATGTGTAAACCGATAGCAAAAAGAGCGATATTTTTTCACTTTATCAAATTCTCGCCGATTTTAAGAAAAAAAAAAACAAAAAGTTCAACCTTAAAAATTCATTATTTCAAAATAATAAAAATTTATATTTTCTTTATTAATTTCTATAAAACTTATAAAAACTGATACATGTTTATCTCTTTTGCCCTTTTCCGCATTCTTGAAGCGCAAATCTGCAAAATCTACAATTGTAGCGCTACAAAAAAAAAAA